TGACACATGGAAATCAATAGGCTAATTGGTAATGAAAAATCAAAACAATTCCATTTTATTTGCTTTTTGTACATTTCAAGCTAACAGTCAAGCACAAAAATCAATTTATTTAAAATAATTCCACGTCTGTATAGTGAGTGTGAGTATATTGTAGTTGTTCAATTAAAAATACTTTATTGATCACAAAAGTAAATTATACAGTATAATATAATAGTAGTTCAAATGCATGTATTTTAGTTTAGCTATGCTCCCCAGTGTAGGCAAGGACATAGCGTGTGTAAATAAATAACGCACCATTGTGACACATTCGTTTGAAGATGTGGTTCTGCAGGTTTGTCATTCTGAGTGTCTTGCACTGAGTCAGACTCTGGCTCGTACATGTAAGGCTGGATTGACAAGTCTACCGTTGTTGACATCCTTATACTTTCTTGCCATCTGCCATCACTAATATGCACCTTCATTTACATTCATTTTTGTACTGTACTTTACGGTGTATATATGTATATAAATAAGCATATGTGTTTATGAATATGTGTATATGTGCATTGGTACATTACTACATATCACATGTATATTGTGGGGTTTTGTTTGTTATCTTTTATTAATCTTTCATTATTCTTCTCAGCGTCTCTTGTATTAAGCTGCAGTAATATGCAAATTTCCAGACTGTGGGATCAATAAAGTTTTATCTTATCTTATTTTATCTTAAAAACAATTTTTAGTCGGTAGATAACTCTGTTTTTGCTATGAAACTACAAACATGGCCAAACGGGGTGGAGTCGAATGCTCAGCAACCTGGAGGGGGCGGGGTGTGAAATATCTCACTTGTATTTAAAGAGACCACACCAAAACAGCTTGCTCTGAGGCACAACTCAGAACAGGAGTCTGTCGAGCAACAAAAACGAGGAATCAAGACCAAAACGTTGCAGTTTTATTTTAAATAGACCATAAGTGAATGATTTACACGTGAAAAAGACGAATTTAAAAGCATGATATAATACCTTTGAAGCTGATCAGAGTATGGAAAGGAGCCAAAGGTTCCTTTGCACATCAATCATTCCATTCAAACCTGCAGTTATAAAGTAAACAGTCTGCCATCTGCAACCCAAGATCAGTTTTTCCACAGAGGCAGAGATGATGATGAGAGCAGCATACTTTGCTTTGACAGGTCAACACAGAGTTGCCTGGCAGCTTTTTGATAAGCTATGTTTTCACAACCATAATTCTGACAACGTTTGAACATTGTGTAAATTGTAAATAATAACAGAATGATTCATAAAGCTGGTACCTTTCGGAGTATGGTGGCACAGTGGTTAGCATTGTTGCCTCACCTCAAGAAGACTGCAGGTTTGGATTGCAGCCTGGGTCCTTTCTATTTCTAGATTACCCTGTGCATGCATGAATTTAGGGTACCTCAGTTTCCTCACACAGACCAAAAACATGCCTGTTAGAGTAACTCCATCTCTATCAGCTGCCTCTTATCAGTTGAGTTGCGAAGGTAACAGGTCCAGGAGAGGAACCCAGACAGTGACAGCTGACCACAAATCTTATAAATCCAAACTTTATTCACTGTATACATTTAAACAATTGTTTAAACACAAAGATGTAAATAAAAATGCATGTTTATTTATTTATTTATTTATTTATTTACTTACTTACTTTGAAAAAAATAATGTCATCTTCTCAACTCATTTCCTAATATTTGGGACAGTGTCACATTTCCCTCTGTGAAGCATCTCCTCTTTTTGTAACAGCAGTCTAAAAATGCCTAACTGAGGAGACCATTGCTGGAGTTTTTGGCAGCAATGTTCTAGGAATGTAGCTGTACAACAGCTGAGTCTATTTTGCTAGATTTTTTTGGGTTTAATGATTTCGATTGGTGAGAAACCTGCAGGCAGGCCATTTCAGTAACTGGACTTTTCTACTATAAAGACATGCTAGAGGCCATATGTGGTTTAGTATTGTTTGGCTGAAACATGCAAGGTCTTCCCTGAAAAATACCTTGCCTGGGTGGGATCGCATGTTGTAAAACTTGTACAGTATATACTTCGCTGCACTGATTGTGCATTTTCAGAGGCGTAAGCTGCTGAGACTAATGCGTCTCCATATCATCAGAGAGGCATGTCTTTGAACTGCACACTGATCATTTGGATGGTTTCTCTTCTCTTTCATATACAGTAGAGAGTGTCTGTGGTTTTAAAAAAATGTTTTTCAATTTTTGATTTCTTTGACCACAAATCCCCTCAGTCCATTAGCTAAGCTTTAGTCAAAAACATTTGTTTCAATGTTCCCAGATGAATGAAAGAGCTTTACCTGCATTTGTGAATGGCACTGCAAACTGTGTTTGCAGGCAATGTTTTGTGAAAGTGTTTCCATGTGCAGCGATGTCCAGAAAAGAATCAGACTTGTTTCACATGCAGAGGTCCCTGAGGACCTGAAGATCACATGCAAACAAAAACAGACGTACAGCCTTGTTCTGTGCACACAGTGATTTCCACAGATTCTTGAAATATTTTGATGATTTTTATAATTTATAAATAATGAGTTTTTATTTTTAAGTTTTCCTTATTTGTCATTGAGGATCATTATTTTGTTTACTAGCTGTGGGTGAAAATTTTAACTGATTACTTTTGCTTCTGTTGCAATTTTGCAATGGTATAATTTTGTGTTTTAACATTTTATGTTTGCTAAGTTTCATTGTAAATAAAAAATGGATTTATGAGATTTTTGCCAAGTATTGAATTCGATATTTATGTACTTTTCACACAACAACCCAACTTTATCGGTAAATGAGGTTGTAGATCAGGGGCGGAGCTGGCCGTTGGGAGTACCGGGACTTTTCCCGTTGGGCCGGTGCATCACTGGACTAGCCCACGCAACGAGGAAAAAAAAGTTGTGTAGTTACGCTCAATACCAGTAGATGGCGATAATGCACTAATTCATTGTTTACCAACCATCAACAAAGACCGACGAAGAACACAAGTTTGCCGAAGAAGAAGTAAGAACAGGAAAATGAATAATAAGAGCAAAAAAACGGAGAATAAACGTAAGGGAGGAGAACAAAAATTGAGAGAAAAGAAAAAAACATCTACAAGCAAATTCAGCCAAATGTCAGAAACTGACATTTATTTTCTGCTGGTGCATCATCCTCATCCTCATTGGAACCTACATCTGGAGAACAACGTGACTCGGAGGAGGATGGTAGTCATGTAGGTGGCTGTATTTGTTTCCAGTTTGCTAACTTTTAAAACAATGCATTTAGCTGTTAAATAAATAAAGCCATTGTGACTAGATGTGTGGACTAGGTCCAAACTGTGCACAGTAACTGATAATTTTATAAAACTGTGTTGCTTAAAATGTTTTAACATCAGTTTTAGAAATTTACATCATACATTGGCATTCTAAAAGAAAAAAATCATAAATGTTTGTGGGTTTCACAGATAACTTCGTCTACTTGTATTTTATTTTTATTTTACTTTATTTTATTAGTATTGATTGATTGATTGACTGATTGATTGATTGAATTAAGGTCTAATATACAATAACAGTATATTCAAATGAAAAAAAGTTTAAATTCACACAGTTCATGTGCTGGAAAAAGAAAATGATACCACATTAGATTATAAAAAGACATGGGTTTTTACGATGTAAAAACAAGTGTGCATTGCCATGTAGCATGACATTGCAACATGGCTTTGCCTGCAGCATTGGACTTGCAGAATGAAATGGGACCAAGTTCAAATGTGTTTTCTATACCAGCTTGTGGCTCTCACATGAGCAGGTGTTTGTAATTAAGGTAATTGTGTGACAATATGAAGTTTGAAGAGATTTTTGTTAAAGTAGCAGTAGCTGGATTTGAACCCTGATCTCCCGCATGAAAGCCCACAGTGCTCATCATGAGACTATTGGAGATGTGGCAGAGGACAATCCCAGGGATTGGATTGTATGTATACAGAAAAAGTTTACCTTGCCAATGCAATTATTGACACTTAAGTGCAATATATTACATCAATAGAGCAGTATTAGGACAATAGTATAGTAAAACATCAAAATACAATCATATTAGTATTGTAAACACTGAACAATTGAGATGAAATATTATTAAAGTATGGAGCAGTACCAAGTTGAGTCCAGCATGGGGCAGTATTGGACCAATTACAAGGCCCAATTGACTCCCATTAAATGAATTTTGGAATAAAGTTTAAACATTAATATTTCAAAAACTACAAGTTGTACAGGTACCAGAATGCATAGCAATCATTTGGCACAGGACCTTTACAGATAGAAATCACAATGGCAGCTGTAGGACAAAGTATGCAGGAGGAGTAGCGTGGCGACATGGAAGAAGACGGAATAAGTTGAATAATAATAATATTAAAGGGAAACAGGAAAACAATAGTGTGCATTGCATTGGCAATGCAATGCACACTATTGGCAATGCACACTGATAATGTTATTTTTGGGGGGTAAAATCATAATGGGTCAAAAATGACCATGTGGAACTCTGAGAGTCAATGCCTGCGAGCTAACTGCTGCTCTGCTATTTTAATTACTTTACTAATTACTCAACATTACATCCTTAGATTTTGTACAGTTCCCAGAGACGATGTTTGTTGTTTCTGCCTCCACCATCGGCCTCCAGCATTTGCAGACATCATCTGCCAGCCTGGACCTTGAATGGGCCAGTCAGGTACTAAATTCCCGGGTCACATTTTTGCCCCAGTCCGCCCCTGATGTAGATACAGTATGTGGCGGAAAACGACTTATCTGTCCGATTGTTCCACTGGAGGCAGGTACATCTGAGCACATTTAGTCTGCAGAACGTGAACTTTAAACGAGGCAATGATACATGCTAATGAAAAATTCCAGCAGTGTTGACTCACAAGCGCCGACACTCATGGATGCCTCTCACACCGACACACAAAGAGCCATGTCTGTTATCTCCTGCATCCATTAAGTACTTTAAGCACTGCGTACTTGTCACACAGTCAATTTCTAATGAATTCTCAGCGTGAGAAATGGAGGCAATAAAGGAGAAGTAGATGAGAAGAGGACACCGCTGTGTGCAGTCTGAGGTGTAATGAAAGCAAAGGGATGTATAATGTCTATTACCTTGGCCATGACCAAAGTCCTGACTCTGTATCATTTTTTATGGCGTAATCCTTCTCAGGCTGTTCTTCCAGGAGAGGATTCAACTCGGCAGCAAACAGGTGAGGGGATTACACAGGTTCCTGCTCGATCTTACTCACACCTCCAATTTCCATTTCTACTATTTTTAACACTATTTATCCTCTCTCACCTTGCCATCTTCCCATTTTCTGAGCCTCCTCCTCGATTCTGCTCATGTAGGCCAATCATTCATATCTGTCACTCTGATGTGGCTCTGACTGGGAGGCTGGAAAGATGCAGGAGAAAAATCATTTTCATCCCACCTCTCAGGGAGCAATATCATATGTAATTAAAGGCCTAGCATTCCTTGAAAAAAGACATACCACCCACCGCTTTTCATATTAAAATTTATACTGAGATCTTACAGCAAGGAGTGATTGAGTTACAGCTGTTTTGGTCAAACCTTAAAATAAGATAATGTCTGATCTTAAGCAATATTACAACATCTCACACATTTTGTTAGTCTTCAGAGTTTCAACTCCTCCCATTTGAGTTCAACACCAATAACATTGTCTGAGTTGTAGCCAGACAGCCACCCTCATTTGGTATTTATTTCATCTGTACAGTCCACAAAATTACATTTTCTTCCTGTGGATAAACTACTTGAAAAATATAATTTGGAGTATATACTTTAAATGTGCATTCCACACAAAAACACAGGAAATTATTTGATTAATTTAGGTTAAATTATGAAGTTATTCCTTTACAAAAAATTAACAACATATATTTACCAGTGTTCCCCTGCAAAAACAACTGAGAAATATTATAGAAAAATACAATTACCTGTATTTTCTGTGTGAGTTGTAGGTTACATTTGAAGTAACCTACTCAAAATGGTTAGGTTATTTTTTCTCTGGAAAAATACTGGAAAAAATATTTATTGTTTTTATATAATAACTACAGTATGAATACAACATTTTTGGACCAGAGTGTCAATGAAAGTGTATGTTTTTAATTACATTGTAGGGTTTATGAGCTACTCTGCCAGGTCAGAAAAGTATTTTTCCCAATAACCCAGTAAATGTGGAAAAAACTCAGATTTCCCAGCTTTTCACCACCTTTGAAGGCAGCATTACATGTGTGAAAGTCAAATTCACAGGTGAGCAGATCTGTGAGTGTGCAAATCTTG